TGAACATTTTTAAAGTATTTTTCCAGCATTCTTGTGCCCAGAGTGTTCAATGTCATTATCAGCCTTCGTGGGCTGACCCTTCTACAAAATATGTTGTTCACAAAGTACTTATAAAGCAACCAAAGTTGGATAAAATAACATTTTATCAATGCCAGGAAGATATTTGGAAGATATTTAAAATTGTCACGTTTGGTAATATTTTCATAAATTGTTAAAGAAAAAAAGAAGGTAGAATTTATGAATGTTTTATTTGCAAAGCCAATCTAAATCTCAGGATCTCAGTTTTTTAACTACAGTATTTGACTTTAGTGAAGAGGACATGCACCTAAATCAGCTGAGCCCTGAAGCAGGAAGCCCACCATTCAGCAGTTTGTAGAGTCATTTAAATGTTTACAACAACAAGCAATACTCCTAAGTCCTGGCTCTTTTTTATTAGACATTGTATATCAAATTCTAGGGACTGCAGGTGCTATAAATGAGAAGAATGACGGTGCATTGATAAGTACTGTCACTTGACAGCAAGAACAATCCAGGGTTCAATCCACTGGCCAGGTAATGCCTTGCAGGTTTCCTCCAAGTTTTCTCCAAGAGTCCAAAGACATGCGTGTTACCATAGCTTAATAAGAGACTGCTACATTGCCTGTGTGTGTGTGAATGGTTGTCTGGTGGTTGTGTGAGCCCTGTGGGAGATAACATGTCCTGGGTTGTACCCCACCTGTTACCCAGTGTGAGATGGAATAGTGTCCTGCAGACTAGAACCTAAATTTTTGGGTTTGGGTCTGTTTTCCCAAAGCCTCTTTATTTCCAGGCAAGACTGGTTATGGCTCCTTTCACTGTGTGTAGTTATACTTAAGGGACCAGTCACAGAACTTCAGACCAAATTCAATTAATTTCAGGGGAATTGTTGCTGGTTGGTTAAAGGCTAATTATCTTACATTAATGTTTGCTAAGAAATTTTGCTAAGCAAATGCCCAGTGGGTCTTGGCAGACCACAGTGCATCTAGTTACTGTTTATGTAAGTTTATGTAATTCATATTTTAATTAAAATCCAAAATTCACCTGTATATTTGTTTTCAGTGTGCTTGTCTTTGTTTCCCATAGGCAAGCCCAAAGTGGAGCTGACCTATGACAAGATGTACACAGTAACCAGCCGGCTGACATTCACAGTCAATAAGGAGGATGATGGTGTACCTGTGGTTTGCATTGTTGACCACCCTGCAGTCAAAGACTTCCAAGCACAGAAATATCTGGAGGTTCAGTGTAAGTACTTGTGCTGCTAAATAAGTCAGAAATTGACATGGATACTTCAGCACCATTAAGCTTGTTTTTTTTTTTTCTTTCATTCTTTCTTTTTTCAAGTGTCTCATCAGCTTGATTCAGTAAATTGGACTGCAATACAGAAGAGTATTCCATCCCCACTAATTAAATGGCATAAATTTTCTACTTTTTCCCCAACTAAAACTTTGGTGAATGACATGTATGGACCCCATGTCACTGAAGGGAAATCATCTCTATGCACAGGTTATGGTGAATAAAAGGAGAAAATTGGACTGAAGTTGAGGAGGCTGTTCCATCTCCACTAATTAAATTACATAAATTTTCCACATTTTCCTTCACTGAAACTTTGGTCTATGGCATTGTCATTAAAGGGAAAAGATAAAAGTGCACAAGTAAAAAGCGAAATTAAATAAAAGAGCACAATGATGAACATATTCTAAAGAAACATATTAATGTTAGGTTACTTCCTGTCTTTTAACATGCTTAATCAATATGTTTTGTATCATAACTCAGCATTACTGTGTGCTGACCAGGTGCAGAGAAATAGGGTCACGACAGAAGGACAGGAGGCAGAAATTTCAGTCTTCCTGAAACTGTGCTCTTACATGAGGCAGATTTTCTCTACCAGATAAGCCATAAGTGGAATGACATGTACGTATATAGACACCATAGTCTTCATTTCTGATCAGTAAAAGCATAGCACAGATGTGCAAGTCACACAGCTGTCACTATTTGTAGCACCCAAAAATGTCTGTAATTCATTGTACATGCATCAATGACATCTCAATCATGGTGAGCAAATGTCAGATGTAGTAATAATTTAATTTATACTGTAGGAAACAACTTAAACAGTACAGTTTAATAGTGTTTAAGTAAATACTAAATAAACACAGAGAAATGAAACGTCAAATGTTAAACACCAAAACACACAAATCTTTAAAAATAATGTTTGTTAAAGTGTCTTTTGCAGATTACAGATGCAACAAAAGATAGACACTGAATCAAACCAGAATGAAAACTGCAGGTATCGTCTCACCAATCCAGTTTGTTCAAGCTCAACTGTTTTTATAGTTTTCTGACATGGATACAAGGTAGCTGCAGCACATTTTTCTCTAGAAATATCCAGAATACTTCTCTACAGCTTGTGTGTGGGATGCTGTGCTACATGTTCTGTGCACATTGTTTATACATCTGACCCCAAAAAATGTTACAAAAATAACTGAACTCAACTTTACCTGCAAACCAAGAGGAAGCAATGAAGTTCAGCTCTGAATCGAGGTCAGAGGTCATGGTCTTTATTGCTATAACTGGTTTTGGGCTTTTTGGCCTTTACTTAATAGTGCAGTAGAGACAAACTACTGGGGTAAGAAAGAGAAGGGGCCATGGCTGGACTTGCATTTTGAGCACATTACGGTGCATCTATACATGGGTGCCAACTGAGACCACTCAGCCACAGTAACTTTTCAGGAATGGGTAGTGTAAGGGATTACAATATCTGTTGTATCTGTTGATGATGCAGGGTAGTTGCATCATCTACCAAAAACTGTAACTCCAGGTAATTCCAAAATGTGTTTATAAATAAAGTAAATGTAATTATGTTTTAATAACAAAACATTAGAGACAAAACTAAACTACCCCAGCCATGCCACAAGTACTGCTAAACCTTTGTACACTGGCATCTTAAATCTTTTTTTATTGGTGCAAACTGATAAATTTCTGTATTTTTTTGCCTCGGTAACCTTATGTCTTTGGCCAAAAAAAAAAAAAAAAAAAAAAAAAAAAAAAAAAAACTCTTCTGTAGCTTTCTGACCTTTCCCTGGGAGAGCGAGAACAGGAGATCAGCTCATCTACAGAGGCAGCATGGCATTTTGTTGGTCTCTGATAACAGGGAGCTCGCATGGACCACCCTGCTTGCCGCCTCACTCTACCTCATACTACTGCTGTCATGCTCTGTGCATACTGTAATAAGCAACCAAGAGGCGTAGCCCATCCTGCCATCCGCCTTCTCTTTGATATCTCTGCTATACAGTTTAATATTGCATTTGTAGTGTGTTGACTGAAGAATCTTACTGCTTCTATAGAACAGATATAGAAACATGATACATGATGATTTTTAAATTCTTTTCTGTAACTTTGCTTTCTTTCTATCTTTGCTTTATTTTACTGGTCTAGGTTCCCGGAAGCTTCCTTAAAAGCATTTATGGATTTCCAAGGGAATTATCTTTCTCTGTGAACTGACAGCAATTAATTGGAGTTAATTAGAAGTGCAATTTTAAGCACTAGGGATGTAACAGTACACAAAATATATGTCTGTACATTGAATTCAGAAGGTGTTCAGACCCTTTTTGCACATTTTTGTGTGTTGTGGATTTAATTTTGAATGGATACACTTGCCATTTCTACCCATCATTATACACTTAATCACCTACAGTATGGGGACAAAGTGAAACCATGGAGTTGTCTAAAAGTTGATCAGAAATCAAAAACTAAAATCTCTTACTCTTTGTAGCAGCCACTGTGGCAGCAATTGCAGCTGCAAGTCTTCTTGGACACTAGTTTATCCTATTCTTCATGGCAGAATAAGATAAACTCACCATCCAATCTCATTCAGATGCTTGATGGGGGTTAGGTCTGGGCTTTGTTTGGGCTACTCAAGGACATTCAGAGACTTGCCCTGAAGCCACTGCAGTGTATGCTTTGGGTCATTGTCGTGCTTAAAGGTGAACTGTCACCCCAGTCTGTGTTTGTGTTCTCTGGATGAGGTTTTCTTCAAGGATGCTTCTGTATTTGGCTGCCTTCACCTCCCTGACCAAGGCCCTTCTTGCCTTATTTAGCCAGACAGCAAACACTAGGAACGGTCAGGGTTGTACTGAGTTTCTTACATTTCAAAGTGATTGCAACCGCTGTAGTCCTGGGAGCACTCAGTGAACACTTGACTCGATTTGACTAACAGACTGTTTTCTCACACCTTATTATTTGTGTTTTATGCAAGCTAAGGTGTCCCTTGATGATAGATGTCCATGTCCATAGGCAAAATTGTTTTGTACATATGTACTACTGTTGCCTTATTACTTTAACTTTAACCTTAATTTTAACATTACTGTACTAACCAGAACATTCTGTGCACCCGTCCTGAACACAGTCTTCTGTTTTTCCTGTAGCCTAGTCAGTGCCAAATAACATGGTCCTTTTCATGAACCTTTCAAAGAATCCACATGCATATCTGTTCTTATCTAGGAAAGTATGAATGATAGGGTCTATATAGTCTTACTTGTTCTACTTCTACAGTGACATAAAAGTTTGTTTACTGATTACCTGACATGTCATGGTTTACACTGAATCACTCACTGTGTGGGCAAATTGTGAGTGCAGTGGGGTGCATTGGGTAGTAAGAAATGTCAAAAAAATATATTGTCAGGGGACAGCATAATTAAATAAGCCCCTAATGTTTATATGAATAAGCAAAGCACACTGTTTTTCTCTTTTGCCTGCTTGTATTACCTTAAGGTCAGCTGGCTATGGAAAGATGGATGGTGCCATCTTGAGTGCTTATGAGGTGAGGTAAACAATAAAAATAATTCAGTTAGCGTAATGATAATGGCCCCCTTGCATATGGAAAACGTGAATTCATTTTCACTGAAGTTGCAGTGTTTGGATCTGGCAATGCAGCGTATTTTTCAATCAAGCAGAAACAAGAAAGCTCCGCCATAACTACTTGAGGCTATCAAACCAACCTACAGATGCCCGGCGTCCTTGATGTTTACTCCGCCATAACTACTTGAGGCTATCAAAACAACCTACAGATGCCTGGCGTCCTTCATGTTTATGGCTTTGAGATGAAAAGGTCAGATGACATTGTGAGCAAAGTAAAAGTTGCAGGATGCCATGTAGTGCCTGGAGTGGAAACAAAACGAAAGTGTTGCTGTCTAGACCCATGAATGCCCACTGAGCAGAAGACTTGGCTTTTTGCCCATCTGCTGTCCATCACCAAGACTGAGAGCTGGCCATGGACAGGGTGTGATTTAGACAGATGGATGGCCAGACACGTGTTGTTTGTTGCTGAAAAGGTCGGACAGCAGAGTGTAACTTTACTGTCGGCTTTGAAATCCTAACTCAAACCTGATCCCTCTGTTGTCCAGCTGATGAAAAAATACAAGCACCAAATTGTGCATTTACTCTACAAAACCAGAGAAAGAAGAAAAGAACAAAAAAAGAAAGGTTACATCACAATCAGAAAACTATAATTACACCATCGTGACCCAGCAATCTATCTGGTGTGAGATGGTTGACCTGTATTTATAGCATCAAACATAGAAAAACCAACCAAATAACATTTTGGAGAAAAAGTAAGACATAAGGGGATTACCATCTGGTACGCAAAATATTGTGGCACCACAGTATTTCAATTTAGCTTCATATTTATCAACACTAAGCAGCATAAGTTACATTTATGTTTATAAGGACCTGCTTCCTGTATTGCATGTGTATGGACAGGGAGGGGCTGTAGAAGAAAGGGACTAAACTTTAGAAATCAACAAATATATTTTGCAAATGCAATCATGTAGCCTTCTGCCAGTCAAATCACCTTTTATTTTATTCTGTAATTGAAGCATGGTGTAACCCCAAAGCCTGTAAAAGTTCCTCATATTCCCCTCTGGTGAGTGATGAAATTTACAAACACCCTCTTCCTCCTCAAATGTGTTCTTAACTCCAAGAAGGTCTCAAATGACTAACAGCTGCCAAGCTCAGAGCAGCGCTGCGGATTTTACACCTGCTTTCTCCTGACGTTAAATTTCAGCCGCAGTTCCCTCTGTCACAGCAGTAGTAAATCAGACACTCTTATTTGTATACATTTCCATTCTCTCCTTCCTTATTTTGCACCCCTGAATAAGAACGCCTTAAAATACGTATTACATGAGAACAAATGTGCGAATACCAGCTGTACCAGCTATCTGGTGCAAAACTTTGTGGTGAGTCTATGGTAAATATGAATGCATTTTCATTGTTTTGCACCAAAAAATGAGCACAAAACCTTAGTAATTATCTGCTATAATATTCTGAATTATTTCACTTGTTTAAGCTACTGATGTAATGCTAGAAATGTTGGCTGCTATTTTACACTGCTGGTGGGGAAAAAAAGGCACACTTGTGTAAAGCCACTTAGCCCCTCTGTCATGATTGTTTTTACTATTTATTTACTTTTACAGTGAGACACCTCATTTTGTGGGATTATCAATCATAACATTCCTGTTCTTTCAAGAGAACTTGCTTTTGTTCAGTCTCAGTCCTACTATGGTGCATGGTAACACTGAATTCAGTCCCTAGTTCCAGGTGATGGATTGAATAAAACATTAGATTTTTGTCCAGAATAAAGGATCATCTCTCATGCCAAAATGATAAAAGGCTTTGATAATACCAGCAACAGTCAGTGGAATGGCAACAATAGAAACTCCATGGTTGCAAAGAATAGCACAGCGTCAACTGCCAAAGTACTCCACTGATTTGTCAAAACAAGGTTCTTACATGTTCTTTCCAGCTGCCTCAGCTCTTCAGTAGTTTTGTGTAGGAGCTTTATCTGGACTCCTTGTATTTCGGCTTATGCATGTTATGTTTTGGTGTTAGGTTGATTTAAAATTCCATAAATAAGATGGCAAAGATAAAGCCAACGCTTCTGAAAAGTGATTTGAAGCATTGGAAGAGGAGGCTGAGTTAAGGCAGTAGCAGTGGGTAAAGGTAAAGAAGTAAACCTCATATGTAGTTTATTGTTTACTCAAATTCACCCACACCAAGCAAAGTCTGGGTGCTGTATAGCTCAAACATACTGTAGTAAATGGAAAGTTACCTTTCAGCAACATGAACTTGATTTGACGACCTCCTTCTCTCCCACACTGCTGGGGCAGGTCATGGATTTAGGGACTATATCTGAGATCACAGTGAGCAGTTTACTGTGTATTTTGTGGGAAGGCAAATTGTGAAAACACCAATAGAAGCTGATGGAAAAACAGTTACTTGATTTGAAATTTGAAATTTATATGCCCACCCAATAGCCCAACCACATCCACTTCTTGTCTTGTTGTATTTGAACATAATTTGTTGGAGACCGGTTTGTGTTAGACTTAGAATGAACAATGTTAAAACATATTTTTCAATTTATACAGTCTGTATAATTCCACAGATTTTTCAAAGGCATCTTGGGAACCAAAAAGATGATAAATGTACTAAATTGCCCGCTTGTTGCTGCAGGCCAGTTTCATGGAATTTTTACTTGAACCTCAAAATAAAATTTCTACCTTTATGTTTATATTTGCTACAAACAGCATGACCTAAAGAAGGAATCTATCAGAAAAAACACAGCTGTAGAAAGTAGATGTGCAGTGAAGATAAATAATTCCTTGTTAGTTATGTTGTCCTAGCATTTAATTTTCTGTCTTTCTTTCTCATCCTTTCAGACAAACCAGAAGTAAAAATCGTGGTGGAATTTCCTCAGGGTCTGACCAGGGAAGGAGAGAACCTGGAGCTGACATGTCAGGCCAAAGGCAAACCCCAGTATGTTACACAAGCAAACAAACTCGCATTTTAACAAATTCAAAAATGGCTGTGTTCTGTGCAAACACACCTACCTGCTTAGATGCACTTGTATGTGTACATCCACATACCTTGGCTGTATTCTTAGTGTATAGTGGCATAGAACTATGCTTTTCACTGCTTTACTTTCACTGTGAAGAGATGATTGTTGAATGCTGGACACACAAAATAGTGTTGGGTTACCTCCAAAGAAAATGTAAGCATGCACAACACAATTCCAACACTAGTAGTACTATAAAAATCTATATGAACCCAAATATAGTTAGAATTTTTTGTTCTTTCATCTTACTGTTAACCTCTCTGGCATAGTTAGTTATTTACTATTTTTTCCTGATAAAACCTTCAACCAGTTCCTTGATCCTTACATGAAGTCACATCAATATCAAATGGACCATTCATGTGTAGGGTATTGAAGTAGATTGTTATAAAAGCACATCAGTATCTTTGAAAGCTTCCGGTCTGGTTTTAAGTCATGGCACTGAATGAAAACAGACCTTGTCAAAGTTTAAAATTATGCGCTTTTTGCATATGTTTTGGAAAGTCAGTTTTGGTTATTCTTGATCTATAAGGGCACATTTTGACATGTGAGATTATGTCATCTTAGCCAAAAACATTAATCTTCAAAAATCTCTGGAGTCCCTCAGGGCTCTGTCCTTGGTCCCTTGGTTTACAACTGATATTACAGTATGCTCCTTGTTTAGTCAGTACCCCTATGATTTGTTTTTATTTCTTAGATACCACCTCAGGAATGGTAATGCATGAAAATCATTATGATTTATGGTTTGAAAGATCAAAATGTTGCCTAGAATATACTAGGGAACTGTTCTTAAGACTGATTGAGGAATTATACATCATAGTCAAGAGGATTGCCTTGATACCAGTGCATAATATATAGAGGCAAACTTTGACTGCAACTCTGACTAATGTTACAAAAAGACCTAAGGCCAGACAATTTTAAATGACTAATGCTAGATATATTATCACTTAATTGAATGACCATTTTTTGGCTATTTTCTTTTTCAGGATTTTTAGATGGGAAATTTGCAGCTAGCCTGTAATTATAAAATACATTCCAATTACTGTGTGATATTTTGAACAGGTGTTTAATTACCACTGCTTTAAAGGCGGAGGGAAGAGCAGAGAGAGGGGCATTAATAGAATGAGTGGATTGGGTCCTAATATCCAGCAGGTACAATTTTAACAGGATGGCTGGTGAATCAGCTTGAATATGGTGGGGGTTGTTTTTTGTGATGAATGATAATTTTTGAAGGTATCTAGGGAAACTGAGACTGCAAATATGTTGATAGACTTGAGGCATAGATGAATTCAGTTTTGCTATTAAAGTTAAAAGTACACAGAGCTAAGAGCAGTCCCCAAGTAATTTTTGCCACCATGTTGAAAATGAACTTAGAGTGGCCTTTATCTTTGCTAATCAGTTCTTTGTAATGTCTGGCTCTTGTAGCACTGGCTTGCTGCTCATCAGAATATTATTCTACATGTATCATCTGTAAGCCCAGGTGTTGGTTTGTTCAGATGACAGGTCTTTGTGATATGAGATGTAATGGAGTGCAAATGAAGCAATTAGGGTGAGCAGGGGTGAATGGACTGAGAGCATCAGGCAGGAAACCTGACAAACTATCCAAACATCAATACAGTTGGCACTGTTGGTATCAGCCATATTAACGTGTTGACAAGGCTGTTCAAATGTGGACAGAACAAAACAATCATCAGCTGAACCTGGAGTTGTAAATATTACATCACAAACCATAATGTGAGGAACTCATAGGTGTTTCTTTTAGGTGCCGGTATATTCAAATGTGGCGACCTTATAGAAAAAGGCCTTACTTCATTAAACATGTGCTTCTGGTGTGAAATGCACATCTGACTGGTGTCTGTGAAGGGTTTGTAGTTTGCTTTTTGGCAGAGGAAGACAGCTGTCCCCAGCAGAGTTAGCTGTTTAAAGACTGTGGTCTGGTAGAGAAAACATTTGTAGTCACTTGAGACATAATGTATTTATTAACATTTAGACAAAACTACAACCTTTACCAAAGGAAACCACAGACAGGAGTCAGGATGACAACCCCAGGGTCTGATGGGATAATCATTGGGTTTGTACTGCTGCCATCTACCCCAGTCACTGTACCTCCCTGTGACTCCGGTGGAGTTGGTAGTGTGGTAGCCGTTCAGTTCATTCAAAAATGTTGCCTAATCTTTGAACATAATCCTGTCAGTGATAACATTTGTCACCACAGTGTAACTAGGGAAACAAGTGAGTAGTACATAAACGTAAATTTTATGAGACAGTTGTTCAAAGCCACCTTACAAGCTTACAGAGTCGAAAGGTGTTTGAAATTCATCACAGGCTTTTTGGGGAAGTATTCCATTAGGTCGACTAGTGGCATGAATGATTAGTGGTGGTTATTGAAATTATAATTTGTCATTCTGCTGAGATGTGAGTGTGTGCTTCTGCCAGCAGGTTTCATTTGAACAGGTGGAATTGCAAGAAAACAATGTGCTGACAATATGGCTTGTGTGTTTGCCTCTGCAATCAGCATGGATTACTGTTATTTTTTTAGTTATATTTAGCATTCATTTGTTTACCTGGGTCATCGTGTGCCTCTACAGTACAGCCACCCCCGCGTTTGCCTAGGCAGCCACCTCTGAGCTTGGTTCATTATAGGTGGACTTATAGGTCTGATATACAGGCTGAGGGGTTAAGGATTAGCAAAACCCGACCAATGCAATCTTTTACTCTGCCTTAAAATTAATCCAAAATCTAAAATTAACCTAAATCAAAAAATGTCAAAATCAAGGTAAGGACCAATCAATCTGTTTTCACATTGCATAAAATATTCTTGTTCTGTGGGTCAAATACTGTACGCTGTGTGATTCTCCAGAGGGTAAAAGTACAACATGCAAACACGCAAAACCAAACAGTGTTACCTTGACATGTTCCTCTCCCCACTAGCCTGACACAGTTATCATATTTGGCTTAGAGACAAGCTCACTACCCATATTCATTTTATAAAGATGAAAACACAATCAATACAGTGAGCTGGGAATTGGAAGTCATTTTCATTAGAGCTGCTGAGAGTTGTGCAGTCATTACCAGTAGATAGCACAGGGGGCTCTGGTTGCAGGCAGCCATTTGTATTCTAGACGCCTGCCCTTCCTCTCTCCTTGCAGCCCCATCTTACCTCGTTCATCTATCTCTGTCTATCTTCCTTCTCCAGATTCACTTTTCCCTCCTCACAACATCCCATCCACTGATAGAAACAGTTTTTTCTGGGTCATGTCTCTCACTTCACACCCTCTTAGGAAGACACTTATATTTATGCATTTACTATTGATCATCATCTTATTTAATCTGGAGAACACTTGTATTAGGCACATGACTCTGTCTTTCAAGACATCCACCACAGCCATTGAACAAATTTGTGGTTTGTTTGTTTGTGCTGTTGAGCATCAGCTGTTCTTCCATATTTTATTTTCCTGGATTTTTCACTTCATCACCCCTCCCTCTTATTTGCTTGCTCCCTCCACACCAAATGTTTTCAAATGGAGGGAAACAAGTTAAAACACCACAACAAAATGCAACAAGAGAGACCATCAGCACATGCTCAGGGGAAATAACAGTAGCTGGCAGTAGCCATTGGAAGTTGCAGGAGCAAAATAGAGGTGTTTTGTCTTTTTCTTTTCTCTTCACCCTCAGTGACTCCAGGTGCTCTGAGCTCATTGTCATAAAAATGGAATCTGTCTCCCTGCTATAAACCTCAGTCAAGGTACAAAAGAGAACAAAGACAGACGCTTGGTAGGTGCCCACCTACACAGCAATACTTATAAGCATACAAGTGTGGAAAGCTTGCAATTAGAAGACAGCTATTGTTACTTTCACTATACTCAAAAAGAGGAATGCCATTTACTGTGTTTTGTTTTTATGTTCTAGCTCTCTTTGATTAGTCCTTCTTCTAGTTAACAGCTGTTGTACAGGGTATAAAAATAGAGTTTGCTGAGATTAAAGCCTGACTATAATTTGGAGAACTGGCAATCTGTCAACAAATGTGGGGAAAGTTCCAAAGTGTTGTGATGCACCCCAAATAGATGTGTACTGTATTAAGGAAACAGACACCTAATTTAATAATGGTGCTATGGTATTAGAAGTGTCTTTGGATATACAATATCATGCAGAAGTCTAGGCCACCATTAGATTTGTTTTTACAAAAAATTGAGGAAATATGGATGCTATTAAAAACACAAATGTCAGAAAAAATCAGCAAACAAACTGGATACTCAAGATGTGGTATTCAAAGCGTTCTAAAGAAATATGAAGAATTCAGAGAGGTCAAGAACAAAAATCAGAGTGGAAGACCAAGTAAAATTTTGAGATCTGATGAGAGGTTTTTCTTTGAGAAGCCGTAGGAAATCCAGCAGGGACCTGGCTCAGCATCCAGCAGCTTCATCTGGATGCCAAGTTGATCCTTCCACAGCTTGATCAGGAATGGAAGGAGAGCAGCCAAGAAACCACTTTTTCAGTAGGGGGACTGGGAGAAAAGGCCGAGATACGCAAAAGCTCGCAAAGATTGGAGTGAAGATCGGTGGAAAGGAGTATTATGGAGTAATAAATCGAAGTTTGAAATTTTCAAAGTATGTGAGAAGAAGAGTTGGACAGAGGTGGAAGAACTGCTTGCAGCCTTCAGTGAAACATGGTGGAGGATCTGTCAAGGTTTCTCGACTTCAAGACGGTCTCCCCAAAAGAATTCAAGCTGTGCTAAGTGCAAAGTAAGGTCACACTAAATACAGACCTTGGACTGTAGAAGCCATTTTGTTCTGAAAATGTTGGGTTTTTTTAATACCGTGTACACATTTCATGTATGTTCTGGTTATATCTTAATAAAAAGACTGAAAAATAAATATAAATTGGTATTACAGCCTAAGAGTTTTGCACAGTACTGTAGTGCTGAGAGAGAGAGAGAGAGAGAACTCCTCTCAGTGGTTCTAAGATGCTTCATTCCACGTGCCAAGACTGGAATTACATGTTAAAGAGCACAGCATTAACATAAAAAGAGAAACTGAAACTTTGAAAAACAAAAGGCAAATATAATCTCGTGACAAGGATAAGAATTCTGGTCTTATTACTTAAAAAAAAATGTTTGTTTGGTGGATAAGCCATAATTTCCACTTGTTAAAATAAGTTTATAGTCTTGAAATTTACAGAGAACTGCCCATGCTTCCGGGATGGTTTCTGTCCATTTTGGTCATTGCATGAACATTTGGTCTAAGTCCATTTTTTGTGCTATACACAAGACTATTAGCCAGATTGTGTGAGAATTTGCACATCGAAAGTTGAATTAATTTGATTGAAGGACCACTAACAAAAGAGTGTACTGCTCTGATACTAGCAGAGCTATGAAGATTCAGGTTAGCCAGGCTTTTCCAGAAAACAGAATGTCATGAAAAAAATAAATAAAATTAAAATCAACAAGCTGGTCGTGGTCTGTAATTTACTATCAGTGTAACAGGACTGCTTTGTACTGCATTTTGCTTGTAGTTTCACAGTGTTGCCAATAATCAAATTCACTATGGTATTGGGGGTGTAATTATCATTCTGCTTCTAAATGGGCTGTGATAGGACAAGTTTAAGAACCACCTTAGAGGATGAATCCAAATGATTTTGATGTTTTAATGGGTGTTTTCCCTAGTCACACCTATTTAATAATGCTTCCTTACCCACAAGATATTATGTGATGTAATATGTTAATTGCCATAATATGTGCAAAGGACAGACTCATCAAAATAAGCTAGACTCTTAAATCTGGTGACACTATTGTCAGTTATGTGCCCTTCTAGGGCACTAGTGGTTGGGGAGACAGCATTGTGATTAGCACTGACAGCAAGAAGGTTTTGGGTTTGAACTGGAGCCTTGCTGTGTGGAGTTTGCATGTTCTCCCCATCCCTGTACCTACTTCCAACAGTCCAAACACGTGCAGGTAAGGTTAACTGCAACACTAAATTTCCCTGATGTATGAGTGTGAATGGTTGTCTGTTTCTGTGAGTTATACTTCCCTGAAATAGGGCACAGTTGTAAACGCAAGTCTAAAGTCCAGGTGAAGGCACATATGAATGTTTTTTGCAGTTTTGGTGACCACCGGCATTGGTGCATATTGGGCGCAACCTGAGAAAGAGGTGAATACATTATTAGCATGAGGAATGCATTCTGAGCAGGTGAATTTGAGATGGGCTTTAGTAATGGCCAATCAAACCAGCTCCTCTCATCCCATTTAAGAGCACCGTGGAGACCTGACTTTGATTGATGTCACTGATGTCATGACTTTGCGCTGGCATGAAAACAGAGCTCTATGTGTCAGCCCTGTGATAGACTGGTGACCTGGTGTTATCCCGCCTCTTGCCAAATGGCAGCTGAGATCAGCTCCAGCCCCCCTCTACAAGATAAGTGGTATAGATAATGGATGGATGGATGGATAGTGGTAGGGGCCTAAGAATAGCCAATATGATCCATGTGTATGTTGTTTATTTCATCCAACAATTAATAAAAGCGTTGCATCATCTATCACTTCCGCTTATCCTCCCTGAGATCTTTCTGGTGCTCTGGTGTTCTCATTTCAGACCACAGCGGATAAACTGGGTGAAGGTGGATGACGATGTGCCATCCCACGCCGTCATCACTGGTGGTGATCTTTACATCGAAAATCTAAACAAATCATACAATGGAACCTACCGCTGTGTGGCATCCAACTCAGTGGGGGAGGCTTATGACGACTACATCCTCTACGTATATGGTAACACTCACCTTGCAATACATAATTATCTCTCTGCCTGCATATCCATAATTTGATTTTCTTTCTCATTTGGTTTTTTAACCTTTCCTTCCTCCAGATACATACCATTAAAATACACTCAGTTGGCAGTTTATTTATTTGGTACAACAAGGTAAAACTAATTTGGTCTTATACAACAGTCCTGCAATAAATTCTCATTATGATAATTTTGGAGGCTGTAGTGTTGCTGTTGAACTGTGCTGCATTTAAATAACAGAGGTGTTTCTGTTATGAGCCTATTAGCCCAGCTGCATAGATAGAAACGGAGCGGACAAAGTAATGCAAACACCTGTCAGTATAACTCAGTACAAATCAATGACAGATTGTCCCATAAATCCAAAGACCAGAATCAGACTCAGTATATGCTGACTGATGAGGGATTTACAAGACTGGTGGTCACGGACATTATCCAGTATGCAGACTGACCCTTAATAACCCCTCCTGATTTTACTTGTACTGTGGATGTAGTCAGTACTAAAATCTTCTTGTTACACTCTGCCAACTTTGTTCACTTGACTGCATTTTCTGCCCTGCACCTGGATTCAGGAAAATGTGATCCTCAGGCTGCATGAGCACAGACTGGCATGAGCACAGTGGGGGGGGAAAAAAATTCAACCAAGCTGTTTTGGTTTCTGATAAGCCTTCAAACTAATTATTAGTATTACTCAGACTGGACTACGTCTTCTTACCAGTGCCTGCAGCAACACACCCACACCAAGCAGCCCTTTGTTTTTTTTGTTTTTTTTTAACATTGTTATTTTCATTACCAAGGAGGACACTCACATCATGCCCTGAGTATTGTTTCTTTCTCTGTGTATTTTTTGATTATTTCAATGACCCGAAGAGGAGTTAACATTCTGATTCTGGTATTTCTAAATATGCTAAATATGCCTAGTTATAGCAAACATTATTAAATTAAAATATAAGCATGTGTTTTCTGTGAGAAGTATATCCCATCAGTGTGACAAAGGCTTTGAGACAGCATTTAGAATATAAGGTAGGAAGATCGAATTTATATAAAATACAGTTTAAACAATAAACAAAATAATTACATTTTTAAAAATCAGCATTTTTAAAATCCTGACTATGGCCTGGATCCTTATCAAGTTTCAAACTGCATGTGCTGTTTCAAGGTGAAAGCAGAAAAAAGTGAAAGTTCAAAAAGTAAACCTGACTCAGCTCCACTGAGTCATTGCATTTCATTTTTAAAATACAAATCCATGGGCCACATAATAGTTGTACTTCATGCTGATGTAAGTCAAAGTCAATTTTGTGTATATAGAGCAAAATTATCAAATTTGCCCCGAAGAGCTTTACAATCAGTACAGGATACAACTCCCTTGTTTCTCAGAAAAACTCCCTAAAAATCTAACTACTGATATAGTGTATGCTAGTTTGCTTTTTATTATTTTTTTTGTGTGGACCAAAGTCAAAACTCAGCTGAGGATCAATAGATGTGTATGTTCTACTGACCAGTTGTACTGACACACAAACTTGGGCTAATCCTTTAACCTGCTCCTCCAACCTCTGCCAGCTTCCATGTTGATCTAGCATCCTCCTCTCTTTCTTGATGTAATCCTCTCATCCTCATGAGCATTATCCCAATATGCTTTTATACTGTTTATACCAATAACATTTTCTCCCCTTGAGCAGGGTATTACAATCTCATATGCTCATTTCCCCTGACCAAAATTACTTCACTGTCAATTTTGGTAGACCCTGAGACTGCTGAGAATTATTTGGCTGTTACTGTCAGAGGGAATTAGCAGGTTGAGAAGACTACTTTTTATGTAGGGGGGGAAATGGAATGCTCGGTGCTTAGAGAACACCGGCTGAATGGCTGTTATTTACTGCAGTGCAAGTTGGTGTGCTAATGATGAGTGCAATAAAACAACAGAGGTAGTCTCACAGATCACGAAGCAGCTTCCTGCCACCTGCTATGTTAGTTTATACTAATGGTGCAATGTTAGTGTTTCTGTCGGTCTATATTTTGGTTTTATCTGTGTAAAAACCAGTTTGACACAGATGAAGACATTTTTCAGTACCATCTAAATCATCACAGTACCTGATAGGTAAGAAATGTCCAGCAAAAATGTCTTATCACACAGTTTATTCTATTAATTTAATCAGGATAACCACCTTTATTTGGCCAAGTATGTTACAGACACAAGGAATATGTTTCCGGTACAGAACCAAGGCAGCCATCTGCGGCGCCAATTCACACTCATGGCTCTAACCATCGGGGGTAACTTGGGGGTTCAGTGTCTTGCCCAAAGGACACTTTGACATGTGGACTGCAAGCACCGTGATTTGAACCCCCAACCCTCCGACTGGGAGATGACCACTCTACCCACTGAACCTTTTTGATTGATAAGTAATGTCTATATAAAGTATGTTCTCTTTCAGATTCTTTTTTAATTTTAAGACATTGTGCTCTGTGTATACCCAGCTGTCTTTTTTTTTTTTTTCACCAAGATATTTTGCTGGTGCACTGAGCCAGCAAAGTAGGTGCTGTTGGTTGACAACTGCAATTATAGTTCAGTATTTTGTTCGTGCCGGGGTTGAAGAGAAGCTGTTCAAATCCTGTCCAAGCCTTCCTGACATAACAGGTCCAAAATGACAGCTTCTCTCTACACATATTATACAAGACAGACACATGACATAATGGAAGATATTTTAGACAACAGGGAAAACCATGAGTCCTCTGTAATGTCAGACATTCTTCTAAACTAATTTTATTGTAGCCTTGCGTTAAGATATCTGTAATATATGCAAAACAAAAAGATATGGGATTTTCAGTTACAGTAGATCAAGTTACAAAGAGGGAAAAAACTCTCCAGACATCCCAGCTTATCCTGTGTCATGAAAATCAAATGAGTCAACAATTTCCCCAAATTCTGGTTAACGTTTCTAGTATAGAAAACCCACTTTTTAGCAATAGCCAGCCAACATATTTGTATTCTGTAATTTGCCTCTGTATCTATTACTTTCTACTATTTAAGAGTCTAGTCCATTTATCCTGCACAAAATTCAAATAGCATACCCCACGCATAAGGGATTCACAGGAGATGATTCATCATTGCATTGAACCTAATGCAAAAGCACTGGTGCATAATGCAAATGAAAACATTGGATTCTGAATTCACTAATACTGTGTGGAGGGTACCGCCAAGTGTCATCTTTAGTGTTCTTTATTACTGCAAGACAATGTCAGCCCATGATAAGTTTAGTTGTAAATGTATCACGTTAAATATTGCATTTTAATATATACATAAAACAGGCACGGCTGCTGCTCTTCTGGGGCCTGTATTAATAAACCATGCTTGTTATTATCACCAGTGGCCAGAGCTTACCAGATGAATAAGAGCTGAAATTAGTTAAGAGGTTAAGATTCAGGAGTGTTAAGGTTAGAAGTGAGATAAATCTTAAGTTTGGCATTCATTTTTAAGGGGAGAGTTGCAAGTTACAATGGTAGGGAAAAGGCCTACAGTGTGTGTGCATGCTAACATGTTTGGAATCAGTTCAATACAGAGTCAAAATTTTACTTTAAGCTTTCTTATTGTTTACAATGACGTGATACAACTTGGTATAGCCCAGTATGAAATTTCTGGTAATTGTACCAGGCTTTTTGCACATGTCTCTCCCCAGGTCTAAACAACAAAACCTCACAGAGAGGGGTGCAAGTCGCCCCTCTCATCACACACATACACATCCCTCCATGGTGACAGCAACACAAAGATAAACACGGTAATGCAGCACGTGGGCAACTAAAAGCCTGGCAACAAAAAAGCCGGTGCCATTAAAACCACAGAAGGCCTCCGTCCTTTTAGAGCTAGTTTTTTTTTTGATGACTTTGATGTGTCCGTGGCCCCCACACTACTAATGTCTACTGTAATTCAACAGCAAATTATGCCGAACTGTCGTCTTGCTAATGGGAAGACAGGATGTTGTGACTGAGCTATCAGAAACTGATTCTCACATCATGTTCCCATCCATCACCACACACTCACCCAAATCACCCTCTGCTCCTCCACTACCATCACCTTGAATGCACCTATGCAGCAGACCATTCATCTAAACAGAAGCTATAAGGACATGTATGTATACACAAACACACTCCCTAGAAAGGAATAAAGAGAAGCAGTGGGAGCATGTGCATGCACACTCATATGCCGTGGTGGTATAAAATTTCTGGCTTTGGTTACAAAAAATATTAGACTTGTAAAATATTGCTTTCACAGCAATTCAGTTAAAACAAACTAATGCATTTTCCCATTTGCATTCATTAATTTCTATCCGTCAAGCTCTGGTGCGAACTAAACAACTGGATCTAACCTAACATCCTAGCAAGTGTGAGTGTATATATATTTAAAACTGTAGGCTACATTAGAACTTTGTAGCTTTATTAAGTCTGCATGGCACCTCCACCCCCAACAACCCCTGCTTGACAGCCGGAACAAATTAAGTCATCGCCAGCATCTTCTCTAATACATCTGATTCCTGAGTATTGTGACCTTAAGTGATGGAGAGCACTGTGAGCCTGGCTGACACTAACAATGTTAAAAACAAAAAGAATGCGGTCTGTACTGCTCTAACTCACACTGCTGCTCTTACTTCATAGGGTAAGAAAACACCACCATCAGGGCTTTCCTCTCGCACTAGAGTGAGACCCAGTGCCGAGGGGTTTCAAGTTGTTTACAGGCTGCTGCTTGCCCAATAACTGAGCTCTCTTCCTCCCTGCTCCTTCACCAGCACTGGCTTTTATTGCACACTAGCAGCATGTTTAGTGACCCTGTTGCTCTGACTCGTCTTTCTACTTACTTTACACTTCTTCTTCATTAAGACACATGGGAATTTCTCCACAAGACACTGTTAGCGCTTTAAGTGCCATCTAGCAAGTCTTACAGAGGTGCAAAGTGTCTTGAAATATCCCGCTTTTGAGTGCTTTAAGTTTGCAGAAA